GCTCGAAGTCAGTCTGATTCTTGATGTTGTGATTTTGATGACCGACTATCACGCACTTGAGACAGACGTGGACCTTACAATCCTCACAAAACATATCTTTGTTCTCTTGTTTGTGGATGCAGCACTTCTCAGATAGGTGACCAATGCTGACCTTCCCTTCGATGATATCCTGTAAGGGTACAATCTCATGACCTTCAAAGAATGATGTCAGCTGTTTATGGCTGTAGTCGCAATTAGTGCACATGTAGTTATTACACGTTCTGCAGAATGAGACAGCATCTTGATGAAACTTGCAAGCAGTGCATTTTGGACGCATCTCAAGGACATCGTTCATCCCTCCACACTTGGCGTGGTGATTGTCTAAAAGTCCGTTGACAGTCACATTGGTGAGGAAATCATCGACACGGTTTGCAGACAACTTAGTGATCTTCGTGCAGAGAGAACAGATCATGTGATCGAGATCCTGGTGGGACAGGTCATAGTTCTTGAGACATTTCCGACAGAAGGTGTGTCCGCATGAAGTCAGGATCACTGCCCCGTCGAAGATATTAAGACATAGTGGACACGTCAGGTTCTCTAAAGTGCTTGGAGCTTTCTCTTTCTCGGTCTTCTCAGCCATAACCACGAGCTCATTATACGCATATATGCAATGTCAGATAAAACTTTAAAGTGTGATCAGCTAATATGTACTAGAAGTCAACTGTTAGTTCATAACAGCTTCCTGGTTCATGCAAGCACACAGGAACATGAATTATATATGCAATGACGTAGTAGATTGTACCAATATCCTGATTCTACGTAACGAGTGCGTCCTATAACTGCATGCAGTTCTGTACCAATTGTTTACGTTGGTTTTAAATATATGTCGAAAGAAGTGCGAATAACTTTGATCAAAAGTACTGAGTCTGTATCCAAGTGTATACAACAATGGTAATGTGATTACAATGCTAAACTCACACTTAAGTAGTCGACTTTTAATATAATGCAATTTGTGCATCCTATAAATAGAAGTGGGTTTTCCCACTGCGTGTAAGCACCTCTGAATTTATTGGCTGTGTTCATCATTTCTATCTATAGAGGGCGACTAACTAGTTTTTCAGTTGTGGATATATTGTCTTGGAGATCCACTTTAAAAGAATCCTAGGTAAAAGAGCAAGACATTTTCTATGTTTTTTTTTACTATGTTTGGAAGAGTGAAGGACGGTCTCTACACTTATATTTCTGGAAGAAGGAAAAAGGGGCACCAATATATTAAAGGAAACTTCAAACAACGTGTAGGGGAACCCGGGGCAAAGTGGACCAAAAGAAATTGAACAACCAGAACAGGATTACAAAGCAAAGTAAAGCAAAACATTATGTTTATACTTTGACCTTAGGACTACCACTAACAAATGACACTAACAATGTTTCTCAAATAATCAGTTTTATTAAATGCTATGAACTTGAAAACAATATTCCGGGGCAAATGAGTAACGCTAGGAAAATATTAAAAATCCATTTTGCCCCGCTGTATAACACATGCCACTATACCCCGAACAAGTGAAATACAGACATGCATTACTTCACGTTGTCCAATGATTACTAGCGGTGCTACGAAGTATAAAGTTAAGCTTAAGCCCATCCATCATTACTATGGCTTGCGTGATAAATCGGCATAAACACAGTATGTTAGCAGATAATAAACTTATATTAATTATAGTTTTTTGTATGAAAAACGGATATTTTCCTTTTAAAAAAAGTACACATAAATGATGTGTTCGCGCAACACCGGTCACAAAAGATGCATCCTCGTTGCAGTGTTATTGGCACATGAACTTAGATAGATGGCAGCATAAACACAAATTTACCGGGCGTGTTTCACAATACCCCGCGTTCCACTTTACCCCGAGTTCCCCTACATAGAAAAATTATTTAATAAATGTATGAAAACCAAAATGTGATGTACCATTTGTTATGTAAAAAAAGGATTTTAATAACAAATATCTATTTCATATGAGAAATATAGGGAAAAAGATAGATGGGGATATGAGAAGCAGAGCGATATGAATCAGCTTGGAATGAAGGATGTAAGGAGTGTTACAGTATGATGTAGAGGAGGAAAACAGGGAGATATACATGACAGGGTAGGATGAGCAGAAGAGAGAGAGAGAGAGAGAGAAACAAAAGAGAAAGGGAGAGACAAAAAGAGAACTTGAGAGAGATAGTGAGGTGTGGAGAGAGCGAGGGAGGAAAGAGAGGGAGAGGGGGATAAAGAGAGTGAAAGAGAGAGAAAGAGAGAAAGCGAGGAATAGCTATATATATATATAAAGAGAGAGAGAGAGAGTGAGAAAGAAAGAGAAAGAAAGGTAAATAAACCCAACATTATAAGGAAGGGGGGACAGGGGGAAATAAAGGCTGAATTCACACACAAAGATGATTTAATCCAAAACCGTGGTCTAATCTTGGACTTACTGGTGTAAACCACCAATTTATTCTGAGCGGCAAAAAGGCAAATTAATGTGTTTTGAGAAAATATCTTGTTTTCTGAAAAGTACGTACTAAAAAGTGATTTATCCTTCATTTTAAAACATATCTTAAATGTCTGAGATGGTTGTTTTACTTCTTCTTCTTCTTCTTCTTCTTCTCCATGTTTCTCCTTTTGGCCGCCCATGGTTTAATTGGTGCTTGGTTAAGACCACGCTTTAGGTTTAAATCACGTTTAATGAATTCCAACCAAACGGTCTAGTATTTTGGACGATAAGAAAGAAAAAAATCAAAACGCGACATAAAATGAAGACTATTTATAGAGTTTGACGTTTTTCGTAATATTTCTTTTAATCTTAACATTCATTAATGCTCAGAGTAAGGAAGACTCAATGCATAAATATGCACAGGATAAGGCAATGACAATTCGAGTTAAAAATTACATATCATTTACATAAATAGATGTATATGTCTACACAATATACTTTTAGATATACTTCTTAAGCCCGTCTGCACTAGATTGGCCAGGGGGATTATACCTCCCTACAAGGTCACTGACAGGTGGTTATCTCATCATATCAGCGCTCAATTAACATAAGAACATAAGAAAAAGAGAATCATGGGGGACCAACAGGCACCGATTAGGCATTGTTTAGCTATATAGAGGGCGCAAGTAGCTATAAGTAGTGCAATGGGGCTTTAAGTTGTAAAGTGGAATCGACAGCGTAAACGAGTCAGACAAAATACGGGTAGGCCTACAGGCGGCAGAGCTCTATGGTTCCTATTAAAGGATGTAAAGGTGGAAGGGAGGGAGAGAGAGAGAGAGAGAGAGAGAGAGTAAATGAGAGAGTGACAGAGATAGACAGAGCCGAGAGGGAGAGAGACAGAACAGAGTCAGAGATAGAAAGAAAGAGGGAGAGACTGTGTTGGGCCGGAAAAGAGGCGTTGGGGGTAGACTATGAAACAAGACAGACACCGAGGATAATATAAGCGCAAATTTTCTATGAAAAGATGAACCCGTAAACTTTCAAGGTCATTATTGAATCTGTTTTTTGCACCTCCAAATGAGATGAATTTGAGATTTACGGTTTATAGCAATTTAAATGAAATTAAATATTAAATACCACAGAGGCACAGATAACAAAATATGATCATTAAACTACGTTATTATCATAACTACATGTACATCATTTATGTACAAATGTAGTCTTAAAATTTAAACTCGTACAATATTTCATTTAGTTTTTATTTAAAACTTTTGGATTTTTCTTCTTCAATCATAACACTAACTATCAACTTAGCATCGGCGTTCAAAATCTTTAGAAATGCGAAGACACTTGAAAATTTGCAAAAATTCGGTTCACCATATGATTAATAACAAGTTAAAGACATGATATAAATAAACCGTGTACTGTCACATAGAATATAATCAACATTATACTATACTATTATACTGTGTCGTACTAATGCTTATTGGAGAGAAAAGGACACTGAAAAAAGAGAAGAAAAAAACGATTAAGACATTCCTGGTATTGTCGATATCCCAGTATAGTTACTACCTTAAAGCTCCAGGATAAGGAATTTGCAAGCCCTCACAAACCTGTCTCAATGCTTAACTGTAGCAGCAATATGAGTTTATGAAAGTATGTGCACAAATTCAGATACAAAACGTTGTGGTTTTCTCTCTATGAGTGAAACATAAGCCCTCATTTTGTACACAACAAATGGGGTGAATAAAACGCTGGCAGTTGCAAAATTCAAATTTGAAAAAACGCTGCCACCATCCTCTTGCGAAACCTTTCAATTATGATTTTTTTTAAAAAACATTTTTAGCTTTCCCAAAATGACTTGAATACGCCATTGCCCATAATGCCCCGAGGTCATGATGCGTCAGTCGATTGCGTCTTTACCTACGCCAATAAAGTCAATGCTAAGTGGTGCATTTACCATTTGCATTCGAGGAGTTTAGTTACCCCAAATACTAGATTCACTGTACAGCACTACGCAATATGTAATGGACCTATTTTGGTCGACTGCGTGTGAATAGCATAATAGTGTAAGCACCAAATTTACTGTACTGAGTATTTCAAAAATAATCAAAACATGAGACATACAATAAAAGTTACAGAGTGATGATTATAATATTGGATACTAGTCTATAGCTCATATCCACCAAGTAAGGGGCTCAAGGCGCTCCAAATTTACACCCGGCTCCAGCTATAGGCTACCGACTCCTCCAAACCAAGTACCCATGACATGGGTGGAGAGTGGCAAATATAAGCAGTGAGGGCATTAGTACGAATTACCCACACTAGGTACCTTTGGAACAGTCTATAGCCGAGGGCGATAGCCGAGGGTGTTTGGACTGTTTTGAAGGTACCGAGTGTGGGTAATTTTACTAATGCCCGAACAGAACAAAATAATGTGTATCATTTGTGTTATAAGATTATGCTTTATTTGTTTTATAAAATTATGTTTAATAACATGATTTTACTAATGACCGGTCATTAGAGTTGCATAATGACCGGTCATTATCCAAACTTATGCGTTAGGCAAAATAAATCCCTGGTCACGTGTACGCTTTTAACCAATCATTAGATTAGGATCCACGTCATCATATGATAATATTGTTTAATGCTTTGTCCATGAAGTTTAGTTAGTGCCGCCCTGAGACTTAATCAATCGCCATTCACATCTCTAGTTCAATGTTCAAATCACTCGACTACAAACCTCTCTTTCATCATTTTTTGTTTTGCTTCTAGTACTTAACAAAATTACACACATTTCCTTCACATTGTTTGATTGTCATTTCGTACATAATTATATATGAGTGGTAAACTCAACAAGAATATAAAGAATATGCAATCATCATTCCTGCATTATTTTACTTGTAAACATATTCAGGCATTAAGATTGTCCCAAATCTCTTTACAAATCATGAAGCACTGGTAAGTGAAAGTATCACAAATATTTTTGATCAATTTACAAAAATCAGGTAACCGGATTATAATAATTAAAGATAACAGAGTATAAAAGATGGATGAAATCTGTCCCTTATATTCTATATATCTACAAATCTAACAAAGAAAACAGGGATTAGGGAAGTTGAAAGTTATCCCATGTTCACAGTAGTTTCTATCAAAACAAAAATTAAAATGAGTTTGCTGCCCTCTATCGTTTCTTTTGCAGCACGTTATCTTGATAATCCCCTTGCACATTGCCCGGTGGATCGTAGTTGAACACAGAGAAAACTTGATTCTTATTCTTAGGGTTGACAGCGACTCCGATACCAAGACGTCGACTTTTCTTCCAAACAAGTTGCGTGAAATGACCTGGGATGGAAATACAAATTTAGCAAGAAAATTAGTGAACTTTAACGTTAAGGAAAAAGTGATGAACAGTCATGTTTAATGATTATATTTTCGGGCACAAAACCTTGTCCGTCGTTGCACGTAATAGTGTCTGTACTGTGAGAATACAATATGCTCTGTATTTAGCCGCTCCTGTGCTTGCAGACTAAGTGATGATGTCATAGTCTCCTTTATGAATATGTTTGTCAATTCACGCCGAGAAGAGGAATGACTTTAATTTGATTTAATATTATTCATTTACTATTGCATTCATATATATAGATTACCCGAGTCAACTATTTGTTACTGATTAGTGCTTGTTTTCAAGTGTCAGAGGCGGAATATACACAGAGAGAGAGAGAGAGAGTGTGTGTAAACTTAGAGAGAGAAAGAAAGAGAGAGAGAAAGGGGTAGATATAAAGATAGAAATAGATATAGAGAGAGAGGGAGAGAGAGAGGGGGAGAGAGAGAGAGAGAGAGTTTAAAGTCTAAGAGAGAGAGAGAGACAGACAGATAGGGATGACAAAGTCAGAGAGAGAAAGAGAGAAAGACAGAAAGGGGGAGGGTAAGATAGATAGAGAGAGCGAGAGAAGGAGTAAGATAGATAGATAGAGACATAGACAGAGACAGGGAGGGAGTGTAAGTCAGAGAGGGAGAGAGAGATAGAGAATGCTATACATTACCTGTTCCAGATGAGAAACCAGCATTGCCAAAGTTATAACGTTGAATCTCATCATAGAATGCCTTGCTTGCCTTCTCACCTGTTAAACAATTCAAAGAATAGAAAAATATATAACATGTTTCATCATGCTGACCCGCTTTGCTCAAAATCACTTGTGCATAATAATAGAAAAGGAGATATTTGTTCTTTTTGGTATGTGCCCGAGTGAGAGATTTTTGGTACTATTTGTTAACTGATATAATGTAAAGGTGCGCTTTCATAATGTGTAAAAGGGGTAGTGAATTTCCTCTTGACTGTTTTGCAAATGAAAATAAAGCCGAACAGACGTGAATTTGATTTGACACATTATGTTTACGAACAAAAAACAAAAATAATCTAGCGAAGCAAAAAAAGAATGACAGAAGCCCCACTGAATTTCATCAACAGAAAGAAACAAAACAAACAAATCAAAGAATAATGTTTAAAATATATGACGTTGTCGGCAGGGTTCGAACCTGCGCGGGGAGACCCCAATAGCTTTCTAGGCTATCGCCTTAACCACTCGGCCACGACAACTTCGCTTCAGCATGATTCATTTCATCCTTCTTTTTTTTTGTTCTGTATTCCTCTGCAATGCGGCTATATTATTGCCATGAAATTATGAAAAGGATGATGGTATTGTGCCTTAGAGTTTTAATTAAGTCGTATAAATTATCCAATTATTAGCCTAATATGCAGCTTTACCATCTTTTCATTTCTTCTTCCTTGTAAAGATTAACTGAATTTCTGGACTCCTCATTCAGTTCCCCCTGTTTTTCCCCTCCCCACCAAACTCCTACTCAAATCAATACTAACATGTATTGTATTTATTAAACTTCATTGGTGTACATCAATATTCTGTTTATAAACATATGGATCAGTTTACAATGCGATGTAATAAATCAATATTCTGTTTGGAAACCAATATATCATATAAATCAATTTACAATGTAATGTAACAAATCAATTTTCTGTTTGTAAAAATATATATTATATAAATCAACTTATAAAGCAGTGTATATAGCAAAACAGAATGAAAATTATTTCCAGCAGGAGTTTGGAAGAAGTTTCTCTAAGCCTTGTTTATTTTATTTGAATGTTTGGTTTTTATATCGTCGTCAATTTAATTATATATAAACAACTAAATTATTCATACCCTTACCAAGTTTTGTAATTTTGTTCAATTATGAGAAAAAATAGATTTACTCCTATTCTGAAATTATCTCACAAAAGCTCTAATTCAACCATTCCACCTTTCATTCTTGGGTTACGAAAAATACACAAAAAGAGGAAATTTACAATGGGTATGATAATTTAGTTGTCAACTGGGCGTGGTAGAGTTTCGATCGTCGCCCAGGTAACTGTTTCCAAATAACATAGCCTGCGCATGAGGGTAACCACGAAACCATTCAAGCAACGGGCTGGTCTAGAGCAGGGCAGATTCCGTGTTTGGCGGGAGTGTGATCGCCACGCCGTTGTTTCACACAAAATTGTTTGGAACCAGCAACCTTGACAACTTGGCCAGTATGACGTCAAACTTAGATACTCTATACGGAAGTTTATACATACTAATACATGACAGAAAAGTACGGGGATTGCACAACCGGCACAAATGCCCATTGAAAACCTAATGCGATTTTCTATGAGTACACGAAGAAGAAAAAAGATGCTCCTTTCAAGTGATACAAAATACACCCAAAACTAAGGCATCTGAGAAATGTGAAACCTTCTCTTTCTTCTCTTTATTTGGCTTGCCAGATATTTTCCCGGTACCGCCCACGCCTACGCCCCCCCCCCTACCACTTTACAGAACCCCGGATCCGCCCCTACTAATCTCGCAACTTTTGACTTTGATACGAATACCGTTTGACGTTTGTAGAGGCCTATACCAAGTAGTGCGGAGAAGGGTAAAGGCCAACGCTATGATAAAACATATCCACAGCTTATCATGATTATAATGATATATCACAAGGAATATACTCTACTAACACTCTTGATCAAGTCATAATTAGATTATCAAGTCTACATGGTTTAGCTATCATGACGACTGTTATCATACCCTCGACTTGGGCTATCATATGGGAAGTTAACAGCTGTCGATGTAATAGCATCGACTATCAATGGGTTAGGGCGGCTACAGACAAGGGCGCACCCGGGGTTTTCTAAAAGAGGGGGCACAGTTTTGCGAAAATTTGTTGAAGATCAAAATAATGATAATAATAAAAATAATAAATACTTCTAATAACAATACAAATGACATTAATTATTATAATGAAGGTAATCTTTTACATTGATAATAATGATAAGATGAGAAGATGAAGAAGAGGAAGTAGAAGAAGTAAAACAAAAAAAGAAGAGGAAAAGGAAGAAAAAGAAGAAGAGAATTAAGGATGAAATAAACAAATACAAACACGGAAATTCAGACTTGACATAAGATTCTTGCCATAGTCATCATATTAGTAGAATGACTCAGTATATACCCTGTTTAAAAGTTTTGCACCGATCTTTTCTCTTCATCGTTACATTTCTTTAATTATCATTAAAATGGGGTCTCCCCGCGCAGGTTCGAACCCTGCCGACTACGTCAAGTTCTATTCTTTCATTGTAGGACGAAATCTTAAGTTTTCACCAAATTGTATAACATTTTCTATATTTATCACAGAGCATTAACACCAAATCAAGTAGTCGTGGCCGAGTGGTTAAGGCGACAGACTAGAAATCTGTTGGGGTCTCCCCGCGCAGGTTCGAACCCTGCCGACTACGTTAAATTATTTTCTTTCATTGTAGGAGGAAATCTTAATTTTTCACCAAATTTTATAACATTTTCTACATTTATCAGAGGGAACTACCAACAAATCAAGTAGTCGTGGCCGAGTGGTTAAGGCGACAGACTAGAAATCTGTTGGGGTCTCCCCGCGCAGGTTCGAACCCTGCCGACTACGTTAAATTATTTTCTTTCATTGTAGGAGGAAATCTTAATTTTTCACCAAATTTTATAACATTTTCTACATTTATCAGAGGGAACTACCAACAAATCAAGTAGTCGTGGCCGAGTGGTTAAGGCGACAGACTAGAAATCTGTTGGGGTCTCCCCGCGCAGGTTCGAACCCTGCCGACTACGTTAAATTATTTTCTTTCATTGTAGGAGGAAATCTTAATTTTTCACCAAATTGTATAACATTTTCTACATTTATCAGAGGGAACTACCAACAAATCAAGTAGTCGTGGCCGAGTGGTTAAGGCGACAGACTAGAAATCTGTTGGGGTCTCCCCGCGCAGGTTCGAACCCTGCCGACTACGTCAAGTTCTTTTCTTTCATTGTTGGACGAAATCTTAATTTTTCACCAAATTGTGTATCATTTTTTACATTTATAGTAGGGCATTACCAACAAATTAAGTAGTCGAACTATGTGATTAATCTTTTGAGAGTACCATTGGTTTCCATGTTTCTTGGAAGAAGGTGTGTTAACACTGACAGCACTCTGTTACATCATGCAATGCTAACCTAAAGAAAACCTTGTTTTGTTCAACGACAATGGTGGCGCCCTTTCCCCATAATATCATATCTTTCGTTTTCTTGAAATATCTGCAAACTCGACTATAATTTCCGAACGATTACCCCACAACTAGTGATACGAATGTTGTAATGGCTTTATATACTCACTTCTCCTATCAACCCCCCCCCCTTTTTTTTGTTTTGTTTACAACTGTTTTATTAATCGTCATATACTCATATGCCATTTACATCACTCTTAACAGGTACATGCTAAGAGCTAGAATGGCGTCCCCCCCCCCCAGTCTAGGGCAAGGCTAAAGTGATTTTGGTAGGCTAAACATGCCCTCATTGTTACCTACCTGTGATGCTTTCAATGCCGGTTGAATCGTAAGCATAGTGGATATTCTCGCCATACTTGTGTTCAGTCCTGTGTGCTAGTTGTGCCTTCTTTGCGCATTTATTCGCCCAGTCCTGCGCATACTTGTTAATTTTGTTGTCTAGCTTCAGTGCAGGAGCACCGTGCTGCGCACGATACTTATTATGGGCCTTTAGCGCATCTCTCTTGAACTTTGACCTGTAACCTGTCACACAAAGAGAAGATAACAATAATGAATAAATCAAACGAATTAAAAAAATATTTTAGATATGTAAAATGAATTAGATGTAGGCCTATTCTAAAATTGCTATTTTGTTGTTGTTCAGGACTCATCAAATGCAAAAACTAATGGATTTGCTTTAAACACTAAATGCCTAATTCATTAGATACCATAGCATGTTGTTTTACTTATACCAAGAAATGCATGTGTCATTTCTTTGTTAATGTTTCTTCCTTGATTCCAATGTAATGTGATGAACATAATAACGAAGTTCGTTATTTATTCTGTACGCACACAGCTGTCCGTTTGTGTTTACATCGTGTAAATTTACACATCGCAAGAGGGAATCAAGGATAATAGGCCATCATTCGTAATATAACCAATTGCCTCGATACGAATTATTTCATTCACCTGTTACGAATAGACGTGTCACAAAAGTTAGAATGCAAATTGCATATATTTAAAGTTTTGTTAGGTAAGGCAAGCCATGTACCTGGCAACAAATAATGTACTCAATTTGAACTATAACTTTTGTGATACATTTATTCGTAACAGGTGAATGAAACAATTCGTATCGGGACGCTTCACAAAGGCATATGCATGGATGACCCATTGCAGGGCCCGTATGAAGAGCAGTATTAGGCAGCTTTCGCAACCGGCGACGGAGCCTTCTACAACGCTAATCTTTGCGGGGGGGGGGTCGCACTCAGAGCGAAAATCTCCGCGTAGCGTCCAAACCTACGACGGTATTCAGCTGTTTGAACGTCGGGAGTCGAGCTAGTACGGGATGGCGAGCTCATTTAAATACCCCGTAGTCAGCACTCGCGTCGCCGTGCGAAAACTAGCTACTGGCTACCCTAGGTAAATGATACCAAGGTTTTCTTCAGGTAGTGACTATATTAAAAGTACATAAGAGAATATGAATCGAAAATTCGGTAACGAGCAAGTCGACGACCGTAACGGGCAATGACCAATGTGCGTGCGAATAAGCAAACATTGGAGAGCTAGCTAGCCTATTGATCGAGTTTTCCCAGAAGCTACTATGACGATAATATATTTTGTTTTCAATTGCAAACTGTTGACAGATAATAGTGATGTATTTTGTAAAAATGATCTCTACGCCGAGACCTCGTTAAATCAAATTTTGTAATTTGTAGGGAATCGGTAAAGAGAGAGAGAGAGAGAGAGAGAAAGAGAGAGAGAGGAGAAGGAGAGAGAGAGAGAGGGGGGGGGTGAGAGAGAGAGAGAGGGAGAGAGTATGGGGAAGGGAAAGGGGTATGCCTAAATGTTTTTCTTTGAGAGACAAGGGGTAGAGGAGGGGAGGGGAGAGGGGTATGCCTAAATGTATGTATTGGTCTTCTTCGAATGTAACGAAACTCCTCCTTATATATTCCCACCCTTCATGAGCAAGAAATTGTATAGTTATCATTGAAATTGTATGGGTGCAAGTGTAACCGTGATGTCACAATGGTTATGCCTATATCAAAAGCAAAATGATCAATGTGAACTTCGTGTAAAAGTACACCCCACCCCCACCCACGCCATCTCGAATGAATGTATCTCAGTTACTGCCCATGTCAAATTACCCATTGTTAAACGGTTAATCGTGCGTGTATTCTTGTTTGCTATTTTGTGGTAAAATTAATGAGACATTTGTGTCTGTCTGTAAAGCTTTAGAAACAACAATACAGCATGTCACGATATATAGTACATCAAACCAGTGGCATAGCATGGGCCAAGCCATTAAGGATATCGGGGGGGGGGGGGGACTCACTGAAAACATGGGCGCGGAGGGAGGGACACAGCTCTTATTATCGGGGAAAACGCCGTAACAATGATCGCAGATAAGGGTGGGAGGGTAGAAGGGGGTGTTATCATCTTGTGTAAATGTTCTCTTCCCCCTTTCCCTTTCTATGCCTGGCCCAATCTTTGTTTCCATCCCACCCTCTTGCCGTGTAGCCCACACAAAATAATGTTATCCCGATTTTCTCGTCTATTCCTCCTTCCTCTTCGTCGGCCCGCCTTTTTGTTCGTTATTTGTCACCATGGTAATGTTTGGTCAAAACAGAAATGAAAAATAATCTGAGCACGGTGTAGACAATGGGGTAGGAAGAATCATTAATTTCCTGCAGTATTTGAATAGGAATAGTCATGTTAAGGGGAAAATTGTATAAAGTAATCCGAGTAATATAATTTATTATCATTCCTGTATAATATTTCAGGTGAGACATGCTGTAGTATGTTAATTTGTGTCACTTTTGGTTATTGTTATCTTTACTCTTACACTCAATTATCTTTGTTGCATTTTAACCTTGAAATTTGTTATCCAATGTACACAAATTGAGAATGATCCTATCTGTTTGGATTGAAAGCGATAAAGTTTGAACTTTGATTTTTTATTTTTTATTTGTGTACGTATAGGAAAATATATTAAATATAAAAGGTACATGTATGTAAAATAACAAGGAACCCCCCTCCTCAGTGTGAAAAATAGAAAATCGGACGATACATTGTTTACTTCATACATTTCCAATGGGGGGGGGGGGGTGACCCCGGGCCCGTAGTTCCGCCGCTGTACCAAATTATAAGATAACAGGACGTCTGGTTATGTGGTGATTATCAAAACGGATCTGCATGTTGTGATTAAAGTGGTGTTTGCGTTGTCACGATCAGACTACTTCAAGTGATCATATGCCTCATTAAAACGAAACGTAATGAGGATACAAGAATGTGATGGTGCTTGAAGAGAAAGAAGAAGAGAGAGAGCGAGAGGGAGGGGAAAGAGAGAGAGGGGAGGGGAGAGAGAGAGAGAGAGAGAGAGAGAGAGAGAGAGAGAAAAGAGAGGGGGAGACAGAGAGGGAGGGGGCACTAGGGCAATTTCCCTAACAAATTGGATGTAAGGGCCAAGAATGTGTTATTTACGCCTCAATTTTAAACATAATGACGTTCATTATGTATAAGCCTATTTCGAATAAGAGGGCATTTTAAATGCAATCATTTTGAGAGAGCATTCTTTCAAACTGACGCACAATAAATAAATTGAAGGAAAGTTATTAAGTATTGAAGGTCCAATCAATCAAACACAAATTGGCAACTCAGTGACAAATCTTGAAATGGTCCCCACCCATTTGCCATGTACTACAAAAAGAAACTTCAAAAATCTATATTTTCACTTAAGAAACCTTTCAATCATACATTCACTCTTAATATAATAAATTTAAATATGTTTTTTTATATAACTCCTTTACATGAAACAAATCTATCCCGTTATCAAAAACTAAACAAATGTTTATGAAATTTTCTGTACAGAGCAAATTGAAGAGAAGCTCACAAGATACGTCACAATGTTGCCAATTTGTGCTTCACTATTGACTACTTCAAAAATTCATAACGTTGTACCCTATTTCTAATCCGATTTTGATCTAACTTTCACTGATTTGCCTCTCTCATTTGTCTGTTTATAAACTTTCATATGTTTAATCGGACATTGCACTAACCTTCACTAATCCGCTTCTCCAAATTAATATCAGAATGGACTTCCCCTTTAAAGGGATCGTTTAACAATGCTAAATCTGAGATACACGGCCCTACGTGTTACCAGTGTCTGTGATATGGTGTAATATTGAAGCCCTACACAATCGCGCTTTAAAATGATCAAGAAGTGCCTCAAAAAAGTAAATATCTTTAAGTGACCCGTTTTACCATACTCGTTTTCCCCAATAGTTTTATGAAAACCGTTAGGCAAACGCAAACTTTGGTTTCGATTTCCAATCATAGATATATTGATAATCAGACAGGCGATCAGCTTGTAAAAGCCATGGTATCCCTGACTGACCTAAAGGTTTATAATTATCACTGCAGCATGAACGAAATCCAGAATTTTGTTTCTGAATCTGAGACAAAGTTACCGGATCCCTTTAAGTTGTAGACATGTCTGAGCAAGGTCCTCCTACTCGTGCTGGTATCTCTTTGGTCTGAGGTTGTCTGAATGTGATATCGTGTAATGTAACCTCCAACATAGGATCCAATACGAAACCACCAAGCACTGCGACGAGATTGACATCATTACGACATGATATCACGTGTCATGTCAATCAATGCTTTCTTTTTATTCACACCATAACATGTGGAGAGCCCTAATTTACGTATACGTGTCAGGTTAACTGTAAAGGATTAATGTACAACCAGTGGCTTAATAATGTGCATTCTTAAGGTTCTCAGTATCGTCTGAATTCTTTGTTTTTTCTTTTTCGAAAGAATATTATCTTTTTGAGCTAGTGCTCCCGTAGTGCTCCTGACTTTCCGATAGATCTGATAAGTATATAATGTAGTACATAGAAATATATTATATATATCATAAATATATTGACTGCTTTGAGAGGCACGTACAGTCGAGGGGCATAGTGAAAGATAGTGATAGATATACATCCGGTATACTTTTTTATGAGGTGATGACGTGAATCCTAATGAAATGATTGGTTGAAAGCGTACACGTGACCAGGCATTTATTTTGCCTAACGCGTAATTTGGATAATGACCGGTCATTATCCAATGGTTATGATCGGCCATTATCAAAATCATAAAAAAAATAAAACATAATCTTTTGAAACAAATAATACACATAATTTTGTTCGGGCATTATAGTTTAATTACCAATGCCCTCACTGCTGTGAGCTGAGTGACAAGGAGTTGTAGGCAAAGCTTTATCAATCCTGGGTTATACCGGAAGCTATTCTAAAATTTTACTACTATTTGCCCCGAAATTAAATTAGGCCTATAGTACATCCATGGAGATATATCTCCATGGTACATCCAAGTCATACCTATGTTAGATACATCACTGTAACAGTTCACAAATTAAGGTGACCGCAATATTAGTTAAATAAATACCCGTGACCTTAGTACACAGATGTTAGGCTGAAAAATAAATTGCTCTCGGATTCCAGCGGATGAATGGATACATGTCATCACTCTGGGAGCGCGTT